GGGTGATGAGGTGGGACCGTTCACTTATTTATATATACATATTTTTGAAAATGATTTAAAATTAAAATACATAAAAAATAAAATAAAAATAAGATTTGGGGGACGACGGGGGAGATTTTTCTATTTATGAATTAGCAAGACATTATTCTTTCCTTTACAAGAACATGCCTCGTATGCATGTGCGGATATGAGGGGCTGGAGTCACTGGATATGGCTGTAAAAAAATATTTTTTACAGGAGTTTTTTTTTTAGCCCGATTTGAAATTTTGTCCTTGATCAGCCCTTGCTTGTATGTAAATCTATATTCGAAAAAAAGTACATGCACGGACTAAAATAACGGAGATTATCAAGAGCTTTCAAACTTCAAAAATTTGTCCAAATTTAACAAAAAAATAATCGGATACAACTTGAATTGGGCCCAACCTCAATTGACCCAAGTTTGATCGGTTTGGGTTTAAACCAATAATTGAATGGGGTACTTACAAAAATACCCTTAAAATTAGGGGTGTTTTGAAAAATCATGTGAAAAGTTTTTAGGAAGTAAAAAATATTGTGTAAAATAAGTGACACAATGTCACTTTAAAAAAAAAAATTATCACTTTTCTTAAAAAAGTGACACAAACTCAAAAAAAGTGACAAAATTCAAAAAAAATTGACAAGTACTAAAATAGCACAATCTATTTGTGCAACACCAATAATCATGTTCTTAAAATAATCATCATATTCAGACCAATCCACATGATGATTACGTAAAAAAAAAAGTGACAATGAAAATGTGATCCACTGTCACTTTAAAGTTAAGTGTCACTTTTTTATTAAAAGTGACATTTTACTAAAAATGACATACAATGTCACTTTTACTAAAAATTGACGTTTGTCACTAAAAAAGTGATAGAAATCAAGAAAGTGATTGAAAAAAGTGACAAAGATTAAAAAAAGTGACAAACATTAATAAAGATTAAAAAAGTGGCAAACATTACAAAAAGTGACAGAAATTCAAAAAAGTGACAAAATACCAATTAAAACCTATGTTTGTTATTCAAAAAAGTGATATAAAAATTTAAAAAATAACAAACAATAAAAAGTGAAATTTTTTTCAGAAAAGTGGCAAAAAAAAGTGACAAACGTTCAAAAAAGTTACAAACACACAAAAAAAAATGATAAAATTGATATTTGTTACTAAAAAGTGATTTAAATTTCAAGAAGACGACTAAAAAATGTGACAAACAGTAAAAAAAAAAAGTGAAATAAATTTTTAAAAAGTGACGAATTTAAAAAGCACATTAAAAAAGTTGCACACATTCAAAAATAAAAAATTGACAATTCTTATGGTGACATTGTGCATCATATTTCGCCTTGGGTTTCGTCACAAAAATATCAAAAGTTAGGATTGCTTTATCTTTCAGTTTGTGATAAGGTTCCAACTACAGTTGATAAACAATATCAGAACTAGGAAACAAATGCTGTATTTTATTGATGAAATCGAGGAAAATTACAATACTGGAAAAGAAAATACAGCACCATTCGAGAGGGCTAGTCTCTCCACACTCTTTACTACTCACTAGATTTTAGCATTGTGAATTTTCCAAAAGTGCAATAAATAAGTAATATTTATCATAAATCTTGGCGTTCCTTCTTGAACATCGTGGCCGAGTCTTTGCAACAAACAATCAAAAAAGTCATCTTCTTCCGTGAAACCACGCCCAAAAACATTGATTAAAAAGGTAAATAGTATCACATATACTAGCATGAGAACATCGAACACTTCTTATGGCGCGTCCACATGCACTTATTTGGAAACTATTGGCAGTACCACTGGTGGCTGTACCGTCCAACCATGTTCCCTTTAAATGAGAAAAGGAAAAACAATGGAGACCCAAGCTGTAGCTCCGTGATTTTTTTATGATTATTGAATGAGATTTCTCAAAAATACTGTCAATAATTTACATCGCACTTTTGAATATTTGCAGAATCCACCAATTTTAAGGTGACAGTTTTTCATCTCACGTACACTTACTGCGTCAGGAATGGCCTTTCAGAGCCATTAAAAGGTAAGCTCGTTTTTGTCAAAAGTGGACTATAATTCGGTAAATCAAACCTCCACCACCAGTGGTTTCACCTCCAGCACTTCCACCGACTGTACCTCCACCACCAGTGGTTTCACCGCCAGCACTTCCATCGGTTATACCTCAACCACAAGCATCTCCTACACCTGTCCAACAGCCACCACCAACACCAGCCCTAACAATAAAGGCACCCGCTCCCGTACCTACAGTACCCCCACCAATTCCACCACCTACGGCACCACCAGCGCCAATGCTGGCACCACCACCTATAGCGTCACCAGTCCAGCACTAGATTTGGTTCTCCCACCTATCAAGAATGACGAAATCGTGGTTTTAAATTGATTTGGGGATTTCTCTTTGTAATCTGGTTTGGGGCTTTTGGGTTTTTTTGGGCGATTTTGGGGTTGGGGACGTATTATTTACTGTTATGAAAGGTTTTAATTTGGTTGGAAGTTTATTAATCTAATTTGTTTCCTTTTTACGGTAACTGGCCTAATTTCCCCTAATTGAATTGGATGATTTGATTTTAGATCAAACCGACAATGTTGGATTGAGTTTGGATTGGATAAAAAATCGATCCGATTCAATGCACGCCTAAGAAAAATATTGTTCTAAATGAAGCATCAATAGAATATGAATGTAAAAAAATCTAAAATTTTCTCTAATACTGGTATGAAAATCACCCTAAACAGTTTTTGAACTGTAAAAAATATTGCCTCAATTTTTTTTATTAAAACTTTTGGCACCCCTACCGATTTATTAATTGTAAAATGTATGTGCATACATAGAAGGACAGGCAACTAAGCATGACATGCAAGAAATTAGAGTAATACTCGCGGGTCATAAAAATGTTAAGAAGCAAAATATACATGTATTACATATTGAGAATATCATTTTTATTTTTTATTTTTTTTACATAGATTAAAAATATTGTCGCGGGGGGGGGGGGGGGGGGGGGNNNNGGGGGGGGGGGGGGGGGGGGGGGGCACCCCTGGCCCCTTGTAGCCTCTTCACCCTAAAAATGCTCGATTTTCGTTTATTTTTCTTGTTTACTAAAACTAAGTCGCTATCCTCGATTTAAGATTCAAAATCACTCTCTTTTTGTGAAACAAATGTATCAGAATAATAGAAGTATTTTTAAATTAATATTTAGGATAAAACCCAGACCATTAATTCATGTAGTGTTTCTTTTATTATTTTTTCTGGTCTGTGTTTAAACACACATAATGGCACTAATTAATGACTAAATGAAGTGATTATACAAGTGGTCTTGAATGTTTGAGTCCTATGTTTCTTGTCATATGTATTTTCAAGGAGAAGTAAACATTGTGCTTCATGCTGATACTTTTGATGAATGAAGCCCCAAATAACATTGAAACTTGATGTGAAGCTGAGTTTAATGATGAGTGGCAATCCCTTTCCTGATTTCAGCAAGTCTTCCATGTTTCTTCCTGCACTGTACATTGCCTTATTTCTTGTTCCTACATTTAACTTGAACAATGTCGAACCATCACTACCAGCATACAATTCTGCACCCTACAAAACACACATGTAGCACAAACTAAGTCATATTGAATAACTCGACCAAAGTTCAACAGTCGCGACTCTTCGTGACTGCTATAGTTATGGTTGGTCGTCATCAGGTCAGTAGATCTTATATATATCGTATAGTAAAGTATTGCATAAGTGGACATAAATAGTAACTGAACAATGGTTATACTCTGGAGCAACTGACTTTGAAGCATCAAATTTTATGATAAAGCCCCATATTGAATAAAGATGAAGAAATTAACCAACATATAAGCACTTGAGCTTAGGGGCGGATGCAAAAGTTTAAAGTTAGGGGGCCACAATCGAACTTACAAAGAAGTTGAGAGAAATTTTACAATCGAAAATTTACATCCAAAAAAATTATTCCCCATGTAATTTTGCATCCGAAAATTTACATGAGATATGACTTTTTCGAATGTGAAATTTCGAAATTTTTTGATATCATATTCCATATAAAATTTCCTAATAAAACGATAAAAATTATATTGAGAAATTTGTATCGTAAAAATAATAAATGTTAATGAAATAATTGATTATTTTTTAAAAAAAAATACAAGTTAGACGTCTTTCTTTAAAACTCACGTTTAACTATTTTCGATATCTGTTTGAACTATTCGGTATGCCCATAATGTAGTTCTCGAAATAAGTTTTAATACAACATAAACAATTTGTAGAATCGATTAGTGTACGATTATTAGAGAATTTTTAAAATTAGCTTGTTATCTTACGATTATTGGAGAATTTTTAAAAAATTAGCTTGTTATCGAAATTCAAATTTATTGTGATTTTGCCCCTATCTGGTGGAGATTAAAATCAAATTTTTAGTAAATTTTAATAAAAGTTAAATAGTTATGGATTCCATGAAATATGTTATTTGAATTAATTGTTAACTTTGATTTAGATTAAAATTTAGATTTCAATCGATACCAAACATAACTTAAAAAAAAAAAATTCAAAAGTTGGGGAGGGCACGTGCTCCTAGGAACCCCCCGAGTCCGCCCCTGCTTGAGCTATTCTTCTTTAGAATATTGTATTATAGCCAAAAAAAAGATTGAACGAGTATTCAAATTCAAAAATTGATGTTCCTAAAGGAGCCATTGATTTACGAGAGAATGTTAAAGGTAAAATCAGACACTGAACGAATAAAGATGAAGGCATTAATTAATATATAAGGAATTGAGCTACTCGTCTTGATCATAAGACTAACCTTTTAAGATGGGATTCCCAAGTCCCGAAACAAATGACAGATTTTCCCAAGTTGCTGATGTCCTTTTTCCATGCATTAAATCAAAGTGACTCGCACTAAATTAGAGAGTAAACTTACTTGTGACATTGCAAAAGGGAGCTTGCCAAAGAACATTTTCAGAGCCGGATTATGAATGTGAAGACCAAAGAGCTTAGACTCGTTATCTATAATTAAATCCAACGAACAATTGCATGTAAGCATTTTGGTAGTGACTCCAGAGGCATCCACTCCCTCTCCTAATCTGAATGGACGAATTCCTGTCATCTGCATTTTTAATCAGCAAAAAATGAATAATAATTAATCTAAATGGACTAAAATTTACAAAATTTAAACAAATAAATTTCTCCCCATTTTTAATAGCCTAACTTTTCACTTTCCAACATGTTGTTAGGAATATTAAAATAATCAAACAGGACTAGAAAGTTGTACTAGAAAAAAAATTCAAATTTCATAAAACAGTTTAAGAATAGGCCTATTCACACCCACAAATGGATGGTTCATGCAAAAACCAGCTGGTTAAAAAGAATTACGTTTTCATTATTCATTTAATTATTTTGACCACATATTTGACCCTAGTTGGACCTTTAATCCTTTATATTTTATGAGTGAATGTCCGGACAGATTTTAAAACAGTGGATATAGAGTGGACAGATGGTCCCATGATTGAGTCTCGTTGCAATGGAAAATGCCACTGTGGCAGAAGACTTTGGCCAGATTCTTTGACAGAAGGCAGTGTGGTGGGATGTGATTGGGTGAGAAAGCTGATTGTATTTTAAACCGTCCAATGATAAAATGTCATGGTACATTATGTCAACCATTACGTCACTGTAGCATGGTTCGGTTGCAATACTCTATGAAAATTGTTTAATTGACAGGCCTTTCATGAAAAAAAAATGAAATATACCTTAATAGACAACCTTGGCTTTGGAGGCTTAGCAGCAATGTAGAAAACAACCAATGCAATCATTATGCTCAAAACAAGCCTCCAAAAAATCTGCAGGCAAATCCAACCAGAAGAAGTAGAATAACTAAAAGAAAAATACTGCAACCATCCATTGTACTTTCTTTCATCATAATATTCATCCTCAACCTCATCATCATCATCATCATCTTCAGCCTCATTTCTATTAATTTCTTTGCAATTCTGATCGACATTATACTCGACGGTTTCGTCACAAGATTTATTCTTTTTGTGGATAAGCAAAAATGAGTTGTTTGATCCATGAGAGGAAGAATAGCGGGATAGAGCCAAGGGGCTGGCTTCTTGGCGAGATGTGTTATTAGGGTTGAAGGTGGTTTCAGATGGAAGTGGAGACTGATATCCAGATTCATATGCATGGGACACTGCTGATGGGCTTTGCACAAAGTAGAGTGCATATGGATAAGACCTGAACAGAGCTTCCTCTTCTGACGAGTCTATTGTGTAGTTATTAGTCATGGCTGTGTGCGTGAGAGAGAGAGAGAGAGAGAGAGAGAGAGAGAGAGAGAGAGAGAGAGAGAGATGATTTTGGTGTAAACTGAGAGGACACGAGTCATTGGAGGGTTTTTAAACTGCAAAAAATAGACGTTAACATGAGAGTCCCAACTATAACAAACATTTACGTACATACTATCCATAATTTGCATTTAGTAGGTGTATCTAGACGTCCTAATTAAGCACCACCTCTTTAACACCCTAATAGCATCTCTAATATATTTTATTGAGTGCCATCTAGGTCAAATACAAAGATTTCCGATCTAAGTAAAATTGATATCTAGGGCGTGCTTGATGAATATTATTGAGGAAATAATGTATTTTAAACAGTGATATGATGTAAAATATGTAGTTAAAAACTAAAGAAAAATTATTGATGTGATGAAAAATATTATTTTATTGAAAAATGTGTGGTTATAAATGAGTTTTGAAAGAATGTATGTCAAATAGTGGCCTAATGAATATTAAGTTCAAATTTCACCTCCAATAAGTTCCGTTTATTCAAATTTTATAGGAAAGAGAAAAATATAATAAACATAAAAGAGACAAAAATAGAAAACATTAGAGCGAAAGAGAGACTAAGGAGATATAAATATTAAATTTTGTTGACTCGGATTCATCTAGAAGATTTTCAACATCTAGACGAGTCTCTTGTCAAACGAGACGAAATATATTCTGTCAATAAAATATATCTGTTTTATTAGAGATTAGATCGAACATAATTTATGTTTTCTAAGAGCATGCTTATAAACAACATATTTGCTTCATTCTTACTTTAACTAATTCTTTTAATTTTTTTATAAGAGTCATGATTTCTATGAAATAAAAAATTAGAAAAAAATTGTTAGGGTGAAGGAAAAACATGTCAGCATGTGGATTCGCAAGACAATTGGTCCGAGAATTACGGCATAGCCATTAATTAATTAATTAATTAAGTAATTAGGGCTCTTATTTTTAGTTGCTTTACACCGAATGGTTTGTGCTTTTCATGGCCAAAGGAATCATAGCAAAGTAAGCACGCTTTTACAAGTTATTTTATTTATATACATATCGATTTACTAGAAAGACACCCGATTCGATCTATATTGTTAGATTTCGGACCATATTTAGAACTTGTTTGGGATAGTTTAAAAAGTTAGAGGCCAGATTCAACCATTACATTTCATTGAACTCATAATTTTTATCAAGTTTTCTACGATATATTTCAATAACTTTTATCAAAATCAGGTAAATTTTTTTATTTTTTTTAATGAAAATTTTTGTCAAACAATCCCATAATCTAGTTAGTGTGTTCATAGTACGAATCCTAGATAGTTTTAACTCTCATCCAATTTATATGAGATTTAGGTAAAACCCTCATAGATTTTAATCCCATTTAACCTAATCTCTCACATACTTTTAGTAGATTTTATTAGATTTTCGTTGAGATTCGTTAAACTATTCAATTAGTTTTTCACGGGGTGAAAACTAGTTCTTTTTCTCTTTACTATTTGCACCTTTTGAGAATAGAGTTTGTGAGTTTTGAATACATTTTAAACGTACTTGTAACATCCACATTATATTGTGAACATTAAACCTTGAATAAGATTTGTCAATATCGTATTGCTATTGCAAAAGAATTGAAACCCTCGTACGCTTCGGATAGATAAAAACATTATTGGTCAGAGAACTATGTACAATACAAGTTGAATCACCAAGAACAATGTATTTATTCTTGAGCAACCTTATTCCCCAATGTTCTTAATTTCTTTGTGCAATTTTGTTGGTTGTCCTAGGATTAAATCCCGGGTCAAACCCGAGACTTGTAGCATCTCTCTTTCTTTGTGAGCACTAAATAAACAACACTTTTGATTCAATAGTTTCGTGCTTTTTAAGAAAGGATACGATGGATTGATATGTAAGATTGGGCAAGAGCCATATCATGATTAACGACAATGGAAAAACCAATCAAATATGAGATTGCTTTAAGTTATCCAACAGGACATAATGAATTGCATTTTGTTGTCCTAAATCATTAGATACTTCAATTTGTTACGCTAACTTTACGCACATGTCAATTTCTCTCTCATTCGAGCATTTCCACTCTTTGAGCCAACTTAGAATAAACTAGGCACTTGTTTGGGCCCCGTTAAAAATAAATTTTGGGAAAAATGTACTATGAAATAGTGATTTTTTGGAAAATGTGTGATTTAAAAATATGAAAAAAATTTAGTTTTATGTGTAATGTTATTTTATTGAAAAATACGTGATTTAAAATAAGAGAGAGAACTGCATTTTGAAAATAATAGCCCAAACAAGGACTATGTATATGTTGAACGAGCCGTAGCAATAGATCGACTTGTCTTGAGAGGTGGCCTTACTAGATCTGGTTCTTGAGGTACACCTCGGAGGGCCTTTTCTAACCTATATCTTTAGATTATTTATGTTTTTTAGAAAATTGAGAATAAACAAAAGCAAAATCGAAAAAATTATTGGGTTTACGGGCCTATCTATAATAGCGTGACGCACTAACGGCAACACTTGATCACTCTAAGAGCATATTTGCCTAAACCTTAAAGGTGCTTTTAATCTTGGGCAAAGAGGCAAAGTGCATTTTTAAGCTTAGACAAACATGCTTTAAAGACTGTATGAATCCGACTAGTCTACAATTCTAATTTATCCCTACCTCCACTTTCAAAATAGAAAAGAAAAAGAAAAATAAAAAAATAAAAGGACTATAAACAATCATATTATTTGGGCCCAATTTCTACCCAGTCGTGACTCACTTTCAGGGGAATGGAATTATTTGGGCCCAATTTCTACGCAGTCGTCACTTTCATGGGAATGGAAACATAATTGTCACGTTCATATGTGGGTAATAAGGATTCCAAATTTCAAGAAAAAAAATTGTTAGGGTCCGTTTGATAGACAAATGTGTAAATGAATTCCAATTTCATATTAGTTGGAAAATAAAAACCCACCAAACTTATATGAATTCTTTTTCCACGAAAATAAAGAAAATGCAGCTTAAAATGGTTGTACATTGAAATTCGATTTTCATTTTACGATGCAATCAAATGGTCAAAGTGAAATTTGTTTTCTTCGAATGTAACATTTTTCATGGAATTCGTTGCAATCAAATATGACCTTAATGATTTTTTTTTTTTTTTATTTTTGAAAATCTAAACGTTCGGGTCTGATTTGTGATTTCGTGAAAGTAAATACTTGACCCATGAATTTTTCCCAAATAAAAACCCATCAACCCCATATGAATTTTTTTTTTCCATGAAAACAAAGAAAATGCAGTTTAAAATAGTTGTACATTGAAATTCGATTTTCATATTCACGATGCAATCAAACGGCGAAAGTGAAATTCGTTTTCCTCGAATGTGACATTTTTCATGGAATTCGTTGCAATCAAATGTGACCTTAATGATTTTTTTTTTTTTTAGGTCTATATATAAATAAAATTGAGTGAATAGTGAGTTGAATAATTGAGGAATGACTATTTTGCGCATAAGTGTAGTATAAACAACAAATGACAATTTCATGATTGGAACAAAAACATCGATTATGTTTCTTTATAGTGCATACACATATTCCTTATATCTATCAATTTTACAAATGAATGCTTACGATATGTTAATTGCATACTTTTTTGCACCTATCAGTTCTATGAATATTTTTGACTAGACAATTTATATGATTCACTTTCTATCTGCAATTTCTGAATAATGTTACAAAACACCGATTTTTAACGTGCCCTTATTAATATTATTACGATCGACAAATCTTTTTAGGTTGAGGCTTCCACATGTTGATACAACTAACAAACACGGACATTTTTTTTTATTAATTTGTAGATCAATGTTTGGTAGTAATTAAAATTTAGAGTTTAATTTAAATCAAAGTTAACGATCAATTTTAAATATGTTTTTTATGATTTCACAACTTTTAAACCCCATATTTCATTAACTTTTAGAAAATCCAATTTTAATCCTATTAAATCATGGTTTTGTGTGGTTCCCCGCTCGGATGAAAAAGTATATATCGTACTAATTTATATCATTCATAAATCTGTCGCTTTGGCCGAGTGGTTAAGGCGTGTGCCTGCTAAGTACATGGGGTTTCCCCGCGAGAGTTCGAATCTCTCAGGCGACGTTTGATGTTTTATTTATTTTCTAACACTATTTTAAGCACGAATTGTAGCAATATTCCCTATTTTATATCCTCTTTTGCACTTTTAACCCTAACTTTATATATTGGCATCGAACTCCACAAACTTACAAGGCAGAAGTAGACCTCATTAACATTTTCCATCCAAAAATTGCCTTACAATGAGGTGAAACGATAACATTTCCCCAAATTTAGATAAACAAAAGCAATTAATAAAAAATTGAAAAGAAGAGAAAAAAATAAAAAAAAAGGTAAGAACATTACAAATAGACTCGTCTTCCTCATCCAACCCAGACCCAAAATGGCTCCCATGTCCATTCTACTAGCGTTGTTCGTCCACCACAATGCCAATCTCCAAAACCCTCCTCACTAAGCTCTTCTTGTCTCTCTGTGGTACCCAAATTGCAATTCTTGTTGTGACTATTCATTTGCCCCCGACAAACTCCTTCTATAATTTGACATAGCCTTTGATTGGCGTTCAAGCCCAATCCACGACCTTGACCTTATTTGCTATGTTGTCCTTCACTTGTCCATGACCATCATTTTGGTTGAGCACAAATTGACCGAGAACAAATAAGTGGCATTTCATGTAAAAGTGATCACACAAAATTACAATGTTGAAAATGAGTTTAAGAGAATAATTTTTTTTTTTTTGGAAAAATTCAAAAAATTTATTTGATCACCTGATCCCACATGACAACATGATGCCCGCCTTTGATTTCCGTGATACAAAGTTGATGTTCATAGCTAAGGCCGACTCTTTCAAGTTTGAAATTACTATTAGTCCTTGAACTGTTATTATCTTGGAC